GTGTGTGGTGGTTCTTTTGCTCCTCAAGAGCACATCTTTGACACCGTTCAAAGCTGGAAGACAGATATTCCAGACAATCCGACTGATTGGATCGGGTTCTGCATCCTTCACGCTGTTTGCTGGCAAATTTGGCTCGAAAGAAACAAGCGATTATTCCAAGACGTAAGCAAAAGCGCCAAAGAGGTTTCTTGGAAGGCGATCAGATCTACGGTGGAGTGGCTGGTTGCAAAAGGAAAGATCAGTAGGGATCAGGGTGTGGATTGGTCACGCCCATCAAGCCAGACCTGATTTGATCCAGTGCGTTCCAGAGATTGGGGTCCCAGTGTCTTCGCCGAGTTCTTGAAGGTGGTCTGATCGATCGTTGGTATTCAGGTGGTGGTCGATGGCGATGGTTTTGGGTGATCGAGTACTGGACAGGGGCTGTTGGGGCGACCTGGTTCTCGGCTGTGCCTCAGTTGCCTTCTGTTGATTTGCTTGTTGCTGGTTTCTGGCTCTGGACATGGGCTGTTTGGTCGGCCAAGTTCTTCGAGGATTTTCTCCCTCGTTTCCCTTTTCCTTTTTTCTTTTCCTTTTCCTTTTTCCTCTTCCTTTTGTTTTATGCTTGTTTGCTTTGTTTTGCTGGTTGGAATGCCGGATTCGTCAGCTGCACCCCTGGTGCCGCTCTTTTTCTTTTTGTAACTCGGACTTGTTCTCTTCTATCCTTTTTAATGCATTATTCACCCTTATATATTAAAAAAAGCACGATCACAGACTAGTTGTATATAAAGCAAAAACTGAAGTATTGTTACCTTAGGGTGTTCGTAATTTGCACCACGATTAACTAGGCTATTCTTCCATTATCATTACAATAAGAACTATTACCTAAGCTATTCTTCAACTGTCACTATAATAAGAAATGACGAGGGCACATGTTATTTATTATCCGATGGAAGAATTTGTGTAGATTTATTTAAGGTTCATGATCCAATATCATGTCTCACACTCCAGTTAATTCATAATATAAATAGCAAAACTCAATGGGTGTACCGTGTACGGTAGAGTAGCGTACGGCAGACATACGCTATTTTAAATCTTACATATATACTCATTTACAAGTATAAACAGGGATTTAAATAATTAACTAACGGGTCTATAACGAGTAACAATTGAACCATGAATCACTCATTTTTTCCGTTCAATTTCCATTCCAATCTATCTATCTATACATAATATTAATGCAAATCAAAAGTAATTGTTTGCCACCTAAGCACTTGGAGAGCTCACAAATTGCCAAGGTGGACATTATTTTTACAAAAAGAAAAATAGTTATTGATTTATTTATGGAGTTATCTCTCCATTTAATATTTCATTTCTCTTTTATCCTTTTTTTGTATTATATCAATGTACACAATAATAAATAATGTATGAAAAGTGACATATATTACATTTGTTATCTCTAACTTTTTTAATATTTATTTTTCTTTTCCAATACTTCTTTTATGTTTTTGTTTATACTTTTGCATTGTATAGATGTACGCAACAATAGACTAATGTTTTTGAGTCACACATATAACTTTTTTCTCAACCAAAAAAATGTCTTATTAAAGCTCACTAAGTAAATTTTTAACTCATTTTTACAATAATTTACAAATATGTTACATTTTGATGAACAATTTATACAAACCCACATACATAATAACATTTTATCGTGACAAAATAACGATGGAAATTAAAGAGAAAAAACAAGAAACGTTTGAATAGAAACTTGACCAAGCAATAAAATCTATTTCTTAAACAAAAACCTTATTCATTCTAATTAAGTGAAAAAATATGAATCATAGGTGCAATAATTTACAGTGTATCCTAAGTTCAAATTACTAATATTTTGCATTTTTGCTCTAGATCGTGTTAATTTAGCAAACTCTACTGAAGTTTTACGTCATATGTTAAGAAATTTAATTTTCAGACGTGGAGTAATAAATTTTCAAGGATTATAAATAAAAAATTTTAAAATTACTTCGGTATGATTGTTGATGAACTTGACTTCATATCTTAAGATGAGACACGAGATACGTTAAAAAATTATACATGTGAAAGTTAGGTGAATCTTTGCTAAACTGTATTTTAAACATCATGTGTTCATCAACCACTGACCTATGAAGCAAGATTAGAGAAGTTAATCATCATAAGAGATATGATTTTTCTTAGCAAACACATGCATTTTTTTTTTTTGCAATAAAACACATGCATAAATAATTATATATTTATGAAATAAAATAATTCGATAGAAATTCAATGGAGCAAGAATAGATCACATTATTGGATAAATGAAGATGATAAGTAAGAATAACTTTTCTCTCACTTATAATATGTCCTTCCATCCCTTATTCTCTTTTACAATTGTTCATATTTCCCTTATTTTCTTAACATTTTATAAATCCCGATAAAAAACTAGCATTAATTACACTTAAAAATAATTAAACTCTTTTTAATATATATGCTTATATATTGACCATAAATGTGGCCATACAAAAAATGCATATATTAGTATAAGTAATGAAATTTTTATTTCTAAACAAATACCAAACATAAATAAATTTTAGAAAACAAAGGTTCTACAAGTTGTAAAATTATACACTAACGCACCATATTAAGATCAAAATCCGTATGTGGGTATCTTGGATTGAGATTCTAAAACAATATATAAACAACGACAATGAGTCTCAGTTAGTCCAAATTAAATTTCAGAAATTAGCAATTGATACATATTGTATAAGAGACTAAATACAAATAAGATCTTACAGTAAACTTCATGAACATTCAAAGTGTCAACTTTAAATTGGGATGAAGAAATTTATCCAATAATGAAGTATATATACAAAGAAACTCTCCGAAAGATGTCCTCATCTGAACAACATGGATTCATATAAGATAGAAAAAACTGTACATGGACGTGTATACCTTTGTGACATGGTTTATGATTAGAGAATTCAAACAGTATAAGTGAATGTGCTAAGTATTGAGAATTTTCAATATATAGACACAACACATACGTACTCACTTATCAATACAAAATATAATAAATTTAGAAGGTCTAAAATAGTTTAAACATATAGATAAATTGACTTAATGTCAACGATAAAATGAAACTCTCCGGCCAACAGGCCGGGTAAAAAGCTAGTTCAAATAATAAACTTCATGTTCAATAGTAAGTTGTTGTTTTAAACTCGGTACAACTTGTAGTTCCATTTAATTCTTTCCACAACTTTTCCTGCTCACTAGGATCGAACCTGTGTAAGAGAATCAAACCTAATTTGGTGTATAAACCTAAATCAAGACCTTTGAATATGTCATTTTCACTATATGTCACCCTGGTTTGTCCATATTTTTTTCGGCTTAATTGCAAGTTTGGTCACTCGAATTGCTACAAAATTTCACGTTTGCCACTCAAATTAATTTATTCCATTTATAGTCACTTAAATTAGGTTAACAGTCCAAGTTTGGTCACTGGCCGTTAGTCTCCGTTAACTTTTGCTGATGTGGCGGTCAACTCTTATAGTTGACCGTTAAATGCATGAAGTGGCAATTAAAAAATTAAAAAATTAAAAATTTCCACCTCAACTACGGCGGTTACCTTCCGACGTTTCCGCGTCGGAGGAGAAAATACTGCGCTTCCGCGCTCTGGTGACCAAACTTGCAATTAAGCCTATTTTTTTCTCTGCCCTTCAAACGGAAGGCATTGAGCAGTGCATACCGGACACTGGACACATGGAGTGCAAAGAGATTTCAATATGACATGATCATTAGGTTTGGAGGGAATAAAAGAAAAAGGTTTATATTTAAGAACCCAACCCTAAATAAATGTAAATCAAAAGAATGAAATCACATCATGGCGTTATACAGTGTAAAGGACTAAAGGGTGTAGTAAAGCCGATCGAGAGGACCAATAATCCACTCATTTTCGCCGTTCTTAAGGAGCTTTTATGCATATGCAATTCTGTACAAACAGGATGAAGTACTGTTGATCGATTGATTAGAAAGGAAAGCTACGTACGTTGTACCTCTGCCGCTAGCCTATTTTTATTCGTTCTTTACCCTACCAAAATGATCAAACAATACGCCATAATCAAGCCCATGATTTGCTTAATCACTCCCATCTGCAATGATGGCGCTACAGTTGTGACTTATGGTTGATGAAGTCCTCTCACCACCACTGCAAAGTTGGGACCTCCAAATTAATGAAAAACTGTACAAAGGACAACCATATGTCTATTTGTAGTTTCAACAGTGTTTAAGAAGACGTGATTAATCTCTCACCTAGTCGCGATAAATAGCTTGGCAGGAGGAAATCACCCCATCTAGTCCTGGGCGATTTATCTAGGCACCTAGCATTTGGAGGCGCGTTTTCACCCTAGCGGGCGAAGCCCAGAACAACTAATAAAGGGGGAAAGTGTAGCCTTTTTGTGAAAATCTCAAACCCTATTCTATTTCCTATTTCCATTCGACCAGTCGCTCCCCTTCATCGACCAAGAGCAAGATCCCTTCTCATGATTGGCGACTTGGGATGTTTGGGATTGTGGAAAAGGGTTGTATGTGTATATGAATGAATGAATAAGGGTATGGGGACTCGGGTTTTTGTGGAATATGGCTTATCTATCATATTTTTTAACGTTTAATCTCGCCTAGACAACGACTAATCGACCTGGGTGCTGGATAGTGCTTCCTCGCCTAGATAGCGCCTAGCGTCTTCTTGAAAATTGACTTTCAACTACCTGTAGCATGTAGGTTAGACAGGTAATTTGTGGTAAGATACATGTAGTTCAATTGTGAGTCGTCAGCTTACGAGTTGAGCTGTCAACAAGTATTAAGTCCAACGGACTCACAAGTCTTACCAACTAGACAAAATATAGTTAAAATAAGATTCGTTAATAAGTGAAATGAATGTCAAACGAGATTTTCTTAAATAGTGTATTAGCCAGACCGTCATATATATTTTGCGATAAATGTTCTCCGTGCTCAGAGGAAATCAGCAGATTCACCTATGTGTATGCGATGCACAGGGCAGCCTGAGACGGTGATTCATATTCTGAGGGATTGCACCCCAGCGCTTTTTTTCTAGTCCAGAGCGGTGTCGCAGCAGAAGCAGCATGAGTTTTTCAGCGCCACTCACGAGGCCTGGTTCCGCAGTAATCTCTTGAGCAAGGAGTCAGCGAGCTCAGGTATTAGTTGGCCTGGTTTTTTCAGTATGGCATGCTGGTTATTACGGAAAAATCGCACCACTATGGCGTTCAAGGGAGCTAGTGCAGCAATGACAGCACCCTCACTCTGGCACTCCATTATGGTTAAGAGCAAGCTATGGAATGATTCCTGGCATGCCCCATACCCATTCTCCAATCCCAAGAAACAGGTGACGGAGCGGTTTATGGCGGACATCGGTTGGGCGCCTCCTACGGAAGGTTGGGTTATGGTGAACACGGATGGGGCTTCTAATGGAAACCCGGGGCCAGCCGGTGCCGGTGGGGTGGTGCGAGGTCCACTGGGAAACTGGTTGGGAGGTTTTGTGGCAGGAATTGGCACGGCAACTGCCGTTCTGGCGGAACTATGGGCCATTTACTATGGTTTAGAGCTCACATGGAATCTCGGTCATCGGATGGTGAAGTTAGCTTCGGATTCTCAGCTTGCGATTCAGCTGATTCAGGAACGTCATGATCCCATTCATCCCTATGCGACCCTTTTGAACCTTATTCGCAGGAAAATCGGGCAAGATTGGTTGGTTAGCTTGACTCATACTTATTGCGAAGGGAATAGAGTCGCGGACTGGCTCTCGAAGCACAGTCTCGTCTATCCCTACGGTATGCATGAGTTAGCTGACCCACCTATAGGGGTTATCCCGCTGCTGCAAGATGATGTGATGGGTGTTACCTTTGAGCGCCGGGTTGTGGCGACCTCCTCCTCTACTATCTAGTCTTCCTCTATAACCCCTCTCTTTCTTGGCTTCGGCCTCCCTTGTCATAAAAAAAAAATATATATATTTTGCGATAAAGAGACGACCGTCGGCAAAGTGTGAAGCCTTAGCTTTTGAAGGGCACATAATCCTCGTGTAGGGAAAAGGGGGGCATCGGCATGCCAATTACCTCTCTTTTCTTTACTCAAAGGCCTCCACTTCCCTATTCTGATCAAACATTTTTATGCAAATCAGAAAAGTAATTAAAGAAAGTGATACTTTCACATGAATTACTACATCTACAAATGATTTCCAATCCCTCTCACTTTCCCCTTCCACTTATAAGTTTTTACGATTCCTTTTCTGTGGATTTTTTTTTTTTTTTTTTGCTATGGAGTTTGTTAAAAGTAAAATGGAGAAAGATGGACAGATTAACAAACTAATAAGAGTACACTAGTCTTTGTATTTTATCTACATAAAGTGAAAAACTCCACTGTGATAGATTCATTAGATAGAAAAGAAAAAAGAACTCAAGCCATATATAGAAGAATCAATGACTTTGAATTGTGCTGAAAGTATCAATATTTCGGAGTAACGTCAGTTGGGTCCACCATATTTGACGGTTCGGACTTCTTTTTATCCAAGTGCTACATGTATTTTCGGGAAAAGTTAATCTGCTAACTTGAAAATTCGTTAGCAGATACTAATTGATATAAAAAAATACATGAACTAATATTCAAGTACTAAAACATCTAAAGAGCACAGACTAGTATTCAAAGTTTGCTAACTGATATCCACCATGAATCAACTATTATCCCAAATTCACAAACTAATATCTAAACAACACACAATAGTATCCAAATAGCACATAATTAGTATTCAGATAACCCATAAGTGTATTCAGATAACCCATAAGAGTATCCATAAGAGTATTTAGAAGTGCTTTTTAATATGAGAGTTTGTGTAAAGTGACTATAAATGATTTATAATATAAAATTAAATTTTTACACAATAAAAAGCAGTCAAAATGGATCTTGTTAGATTTTTATATTAAATAACATGATTTTATAATTTATTTTATTTTCAAAATGTAATTTTAAGAAAATTATATTTTCCAAAATAAAATTAAAATATGGTAAGTATAGTCTTGTATTTTCAAAACAGCTATTCGCATAAGCTCAAAATATGTTATACAAAAGTGCTTTTTGTCTTTTCAAAAAACGAGTTTTTAGAGGTGTTTGGCCCTGCTTCAGCTTTTGAAACTGAAAAACACTTCTAAAAGTCGGGCCAAACTTAGGCAGAATTAGATTTTATTAATTGTTCTACCTCATATTTGATTAAGGGGTCGTTTGCTTCGTGGATTTGGATGATGGATTTGGTACCCAAATCTAATCCATCATCGATTTAGGGGTCGTTTTCTTTGTGAATTTGGTACCCAAATCTATTCCATCATGGATTTAAGAAAAATACATTGTTTGCTTGCACTTTTTTAGGGACCAAATTCGTGCGGTCTACGGATTTAAGTGTCCAAATCCGAGGACTCCACAGATTTGTAAATACCACATATTGATGTTGGATTTGGAACATGCCATAAATCCATGATGAAATTTTACCCATATACCTTCATGAACTTTAATATTGTAAGATTGTCCCTCATTTACCTATTGTACATTATAATTAATCAATTAATTAACAACAAGGAAATAATATAAATATTAAATTAATCTCCAAACATGAATTAGATTTTTTTATGTCATTTCTTGTCTTCTAGTTTCTTTTTGTTCGCCCGATTTTAGTATATGTTGTTATATGTTACTTTTGAAAAGGAGGACAAAGAATTAGCAATCTTTATATATCAGGTTAAAGTTAAATGGAATTTTCCTGTCTAATATTATTGTCTTTGTGGCAACATTATTATTAGTACATATTGTCCATAATTTTTTGTTCATATCATAAACATGACAAACAAATAGAAAAATATTACAAGATAATTTTGAAGTTCTAAATTCCAAACCATTAAATCCATGATAAACCATCTTAACAAACACATGATTGTTACAAATCCAAAATATCTTAAATACGTGATAAATCTTTACATTTTTAAATTGCAAAAATCTCATTTTTAAATTCATGAAGAAACGACCCCTAAATTCTTTTTCATGTTGGGTGGGCGGATGGCAGACTTTTTTACTGCACTATGCCACTATCTATCTATCTAAAGACCAAAAGAGGCGCAAAAAAGGGAAACAAAAAAAACACTATCTCTCTCATTTCTTATGCTGTTATGCATGCATTGCACCTCTAGCTATATGCGTGGCGTGTGATAGTGAAAGGCGCGACGAAGAGAGCTTCAGAACATCTATATATCATCATCAGCTTGGAAAGTCATGGAGTAGGAGGAAACACCGGTCAAAAAGTAGGATCATATTATTACAGACATAAAAACAATAACTTTTACCTTCATCTTATTTCAGTTTGAAGAGAAAACAATCAATATGGTCACAAGTTCGATAGATAGACAAAATTTCGAGTCTTGTTGTATTTGGTTGTCAATTTCATTTCGATTTTGGTACTCCTAAAGTTGAGTGCCAAACCCAGGACTGTATTACTAACTCGTGTATGATTTTAAGCGCAATTTTCGATCTTATTTAGTTGGTTGGATTATCTTTTTGCACCGTCTTCTTAAACAGGAGCACGGAAAAAAAAAACTCTACCTTTCGAAGAAGACTCTAATGGCAAGCATCAACAAAGTACATCGGCCGCCTACCGTATCCACCCGCAGACCACACTGGAGCTGACGACCAACTATCTATTTATCTCAAAAATCGCTCGACATGGACGAAGATCAGTTGCGAGGCCACGAGCAGTTTCAAACCTCTCTACGAACTGCTACATCAAAATTCTATCTTCAAACGCCCAGAAAGGGAAGGGCTACAAATTACAACCATTTAGTCTATACTGTGCAGAGGTGGGGCGAAAACAGGTCAAAGGAATTTATTTACGTGGAGTAGGTTTTGGTGTCCTATAATCCATCCTTCACGTTTTAGTTGGAAAACCGAAAACAAAGAGAACGACGACTGCAATATTTTGCACATTCCAACCAGAAATGTGAACACTTTGGGTTAAGCTGGCCGTAAGCGATGGAGAAAGTCCAAGAAAGTGACGTTGGGCTGCCAAGAATTAGGTGTCAATCGGCATTTTATAATTTGCTCAAAACGTAATGGTCCACGTAAGAACTTAAATTAAAGCCCAACAACATACTGATGACCGCAGACTTCTGTGACTTGTGAAAGAGGCGACCAAGTCAACCACTGAATACTCCACTCCACTGATCACACAACCACACCAGTAAGAAAACCACAGTGGCCCAGTTTTTCAGAAAGAGACCTGTTATTTTCAAGTGGGAACACTCGCTTGAAATGGAACAGAAAAATACACATAATGTAAATGCATCATAACAGTGATCATCAATTCTAGTCCATCACAGGACAATCAAAGCACGATCGTTCAGCAAACAATGGACTGTTGAAGATTCAATCGGAATAACACAATCTCTTTGTATTTTTGTACAAGTACAGATTGCAAGATAAGGGGAGAATGGATGCGTTACGACTTACAAGAAGAAAACAAGGCAGTAAGATGAGCAGAGGCATTAATAGATTCTGAGATGTTAGCAAAGACTGAAGGCATACCCTAAATCTTCAGGAGGTGGATGTTGTTGTGCAGAGCTCCAATCATCGTTTGCCGCCGTAAAGGCCATGGAATCCTTTCTCTCTATCCTCGACCCTCTTTTTAGCAGCCTCCCTTGCTTTAAGTGCAGCTTTGTCTTCTTGAGATAAAACCTTTGGCTTCTCTTCTCTCTTTCTCTTGTTCACAGTGACTGCTGAAGTTTTACCTTTGACTGATCTCGTGGGGTTTAAGGATGCTGTGACAACTGGACCGGGTGGTGGGCCACATGGAACTGGACTGGTTTTCTGTTTTACAGAAATTGGCATCGAGACTGAAGGCTTTTGGTGCTTGCCGTCTGATGAAGCCTTAATGGCAGCATACGCCTCCTGTTGTGTTACCCACTTGCCTGTGCCATAACTCCAAGTAAGAAAAAACATTTAAACATAAACCCTGGAGAGTGAATTGTCACATTTACGAGAAGTTTTCACATACCTATAGCATCAGAGTAATAGAAGCCAGAATTTGGATCGTAATGCAAACCATTATCGTTATGGTAGTAGTAGCCTGAAGTACTGTCGATTGCCCATTCTGCCATAACGATATTTGTCAATTTGAAGCAACACAAAGATAATATCCATGGCTGATCAACAGAGGACTATTTAAAACATGCAAGAAACAGAATGCAGATCACCAGAGTATGTGCACGGTTAATTCATTGATTAGAAAGTTAGATAGAAAAGTTCTAATTTAAGGACATAACTCACTTATTTCATGGTTTTAATAGGGTTCAAACGTCTGTCTTGGTTTATTTTCTTCTGCTGGGGCCAACTTCCAGACATCAGGATTAATTGATCTTAAACAAGAACCATAACTATGTCAGGAATGCGAATAGGGGTTGGAATCAATCGTCCGGATAGTAAGGAAAGGAGTCTAGCAATTAAAGGTATCTTCAAATCTATGAAATGGAAAGGGGTCAATCAATCCATCACTTAACACTGCTTGTGAATAGTTTCTGGAACTGAAGGACACCTATAATTATTAGGTGGAAAGACTCCCAAGTCTAATCCCAATCCGAGATTAACTTGCTTTTACGTGAAGGGTGTAAAGAGTTATCTTGCAGTAACTCATAAAAAAAATACAAAGTTAAAGAGTAGCCTATCCTAAAGTGAAATATTGATCAATAATGTTAAACTAGCAGTCTAGGGGCAACGCCAAATGAATGAACGAGTTTCTCAAAGGAAAAGACTTTGTGTACTTACTTTCCTTACTATCTTCTAGGATATCCAGTGCACGGGCATCACCGGCCTCCTTCAAGGTTGCCACATCCTTTTGATAGCTACGTTTAGCTTTCTGGTAGTCAAAACAAAATAACGAGTAATAAGCATTACTGACAAACAAATTAAAGCAAATATACATTAAAAGGAGAGTAAGAGACATGATATTAGGTTCAAGTGAGGCATCGTTCCCAGTTGACTACTACCAAGAGAACTCTCATTGCAGGAAAAATAACATCTGATCGCAGAAAGCAGAAAGTGTTCAAAACCAACACACTGAACTATAATAAGAGAAAGCAGGGAGTTGAAAAAGAATGATTAACTCAGTATCTCAACTCTGGCTCATGGCTAAAGTTGCTCCACACCAAGTGCCTGCAGCCATCCTTAAACTTGGATTTGTTTTGCTGTAAATACGGATCATAGACTAAACCAAAATATAAGTCAACAATTTCGCTCTATAATTCCACTTCTAAATTCCATGGAAAACGTCCACCCAAGTTCCCAACTGTAAGAAAATATATGAACCACTTCAATTCCTCCAACATTGATGAGATATGAGTTGGGGAAAGGACAAACTTACAGCTTCAATTTGCTCGAGAGCACGAGCGGCTTCATTCACGGCCTTCTCCTTGGCAACCTTCTCCTGGCGCATAGTAGTTAGCCGCTTCGCGACATTGTCCTTGTGGCGCTGCCCTAGCTCGTGGTTCCTTATGCTGGAAGGATTGTTGGAGAGGAAGATTTTGCAGAAATCGCACCATTTGTTCCCTTGGCTAACCCAGTACTGAATCGAAAGTTTCAAACCAAGTTCCCAAAATCAAATTCCCCATTAATAAACAACAACAAATAAAGGGACGACGAAGAATTGTATTACATACCTCGGTCATGGCTGTGAAAGAAGTGGTTTTCGCTGACAACGATGATTGAAAACTTGAGGGGGCGAAAGATACAGCAGCAAGCTACCAATCTTCCAAGTTTCCAGGTGAAGAATGAATCTTTCTCGTAAACCCTAGAAAAAGCTTCGGCCTTGCGCCGTTTAACTCCCGTTCAATGCGGTGAAGAGCTGCAAAATGCGCTTTCCCGATCCCTTCTCTTCGTTTTCTTCGATTTTCCCCGGTTCAGTATTGAATTCGGATGGATCGATCGCGAATCCGACCACCGCTTTCGTTTTATTTTTCGTCTTCCAAAGTAAAGTCCAACCAATTGGCCCAAACTTTCTCCGGTGGTCGCCACTGGCCCCCGAATTTATGAATTAAGAGTGAATTACGTAAATGACCACTGCATTTCAGAGTCACTAAGGAAAAGTCACTGAAGTAGTGAAGTTTGATTTACAATAGGGGATTGCTATTCGTCGCCCTAAAATAGCTAATTTGTCGCTCTAAATCATATTGAATTTACACAAATACCCTTATTTTTTATTGTTCGAGGGCATTGGAATGCATATTGAGGATCACCCTCGACAAGATCACCCTGGACAAGATCAGTTACAGGATCACCCTGCAATCTGCATTCGATTTTTGGAGTTGAGCTTGCTCTGGTTCTCTGGTTGCTAGGTAAGACCGTCGACATTTTCCTAAAGTGTAGAGTTACCTCTGCCTGCACGACAGGGACAACAACACAGTAGGAGGCGAGAAGTGAATTTTGCCTAATCCCCTTTTTCTCTTTCCCTCTTTTGTTCTCTTCCTTCTCCTCCTCCACAGCAACCATGGCGGCTTTGGCTTCTTCTACATTCTCCCAATCCCTTCTCCGCCGAGCAACAACAACATGTCAGAGGCAGGGAGCAGCTCAAGAATGGGAGGCAGCGGGATTTTGGTTGTTGGGAGAAGGGTCTAGAGTTTAGTTTTGATTTGGGGTAGCCGGGTAGGGGTATATGTGTCATTTTAGTGTAGTTTAGGGCGATAAAATTTAAATTTTAGGGCGACGAATAGCGATTCAATTTCAATATTGTAATTGGGTAATTGTCATATTTATTTCAGTAATTCGAGTGACCAAAATTGATATTATATTAGTCACTCTCCCGTTAGTTTCAATATTGTAATTGACGTTTATACCGTTATTTTTAATTTCAATCTCCAACCTCTAACTTCCCCCACTAGCCAAATTCCGATCGCCGCCGTAGTTCAGGCAACCTTCCACATCTCCCATTCCCCAACCCACCATCGTAATTTTTTCCCCATTCTGCGACCCGCTGCCATTGTAAAGAAGGAGAAAGAATCCCACCAGTTGGATTCGCCCGACGTGGCCATCCCCAGCCAGTCGACCCCCTGCGAATTTCAATCTCCAACAATATACTTGTTACCAGAAAAACAAAGCTTCTTCCATGGCCTTCCATCTAGGGGTGTCAATTCGGGTTTGGGTTTTTTGTTTTAATTGAACCCGAACCGATAAGATATATTATCGGGTTTTCGGATTCGGTTTTGTTTCGGATTCCAGTTTTCGATTTCGGGTTTCATTTTTTGGTTTCGATATCAGGTTTAGCTAACGATACAACGCTTCATATCCAATAGGGTGTTTTCGGGTTTCGGTTTTGCCTTAACCGAACCCGAAACCGTCAAGATTTTTTTCGGTCTCGGGTAACCAAAACCGAAAACTCGCTTATCGGGTTCGGGTTTGGTTTTCAAAGGATAACGAGTTTCGGTTTTTCAGGTATCATGGATTTTGGGTTGGTTTACCCAAACCTGAACCGGCAGCCCTACTTCCATATGTCTAATCCCAACCCATTCCTCCGCCACATCGCACATAAATGAAAGGCCTTTTGTTGTTTTTCTCTTTGTATTGTCTCCAGAATTGGGTCTTCAAAAGGTTTTCATTTTCCCATTAGAGAATCAAAAATCGTTTACTGAAAGTGTGTCTTTGCAGCCATGTAGAATATTAGTAAGGTTGTACATGTGATTCTAGGGCTCATCACTCTGGATGCCACGGTGGTTGCAGCTTGATCATGATCACAATCAAGCGTATTGGGTTTGGAGTGCAAGGCAGTTCCCGATGACGGAGGTGCTTTGAAGGGAGATGCGACTCTCGTTGAGATGAAGAAGATTAGGGATTTCTGGAATTTTTTTAATTTTGATTTGGTTCTGTAAGGTTAATTTAATAATTCATATTGGCATTGTTATCCGTCGCCCTAAAACATCTTATTCGCCCTAAATTTTATTAAATTGACTCAAATATCCTTAGCTTAATTTTTAATGCCCCGTTCACTACCCATTTTGTTTTCTGTTGTGAAAATGAAAACCAAGAAACAAATAACAAAAAACATGTTCACTTGTCATTTAATTTTCTTTGGAAAAAACAATTATCCATAAATCAGGTACTTGGTGGGAAACGATAACAATTTGTTTTAAGGAAATTGGGGGACGGGTTTCGCCCCGTTCTCCAGCGGAAAAACGCCCGTATTCATTAATGATCACTCACTTTCGAATCGCACCAGCCCCTTTTTTCTCCTTTTGCTTCGCGACACGGCTACACCCAAACGCAGCAGCTTCTCAAATCTCAACCCTAGTGGCCACCTCCATCAGAACTCAACAGAGTTCATTTTCTCCAAATCGGCCGCCTCCCTTGAAGTCCGAGATCACCCTCTCCGAATCAGACACCGAGAAGCTCAAATCAGCGGCGCGTATTCCTTGTCTGTGCGTTGACCAACAAGAAGCGGCGCTTCATCCTCCTCAACAGAATTCATTTTTTATGAGCTGAATGTTGGGTGTTTTGTTTTTCATATCGGCAGGTCGAGAAAATCGATCCTTTGCTCCATTGGGAGAAGTCAGAATTAGAGTTTCCTTGTCGGTGTAAAGCTCCCACGAAGCAGCGAGCTTCCCTTTCCCCACTAGCAGCGGCGACTTCCTTGTTGGCATCAAACTCCATCGATTTCATCCGAGCTTCCCTTTCCCTATAAGAGATTAAAAAAGGCTTAACAAAACCTTTCCCAACAACTCGAGTTATTGAGACCAAGTGGTTAGTTCGCTAACATGGTATCAGAGCCTAGAACCGAAAGGACATGGTTTCGAATCCTCATGACGACCTCCATTTAATGCCAATTCGTTTAGCGTTTGAGTGGGCGTATAAGAGATTAAAAAAGATTTAACAAACCCTTTTCCAACAACTCGAGTTATTGAGACCAAGTGGTTAGTTCGCTAACATTCCCACCAGCACTAATCCCATGTTGCAGTTGATAGCTTACAGATAGAGAATGCTATTGAAGTACTATTGGTTTTGGAGTGTTGGGAGTGAGTGCAATGCAGAGATAGCAGCATCAGCGTTGCTAGAACAAGTTGAGGTGTGGTACCTGGCCTTCAAATAACTCATTAGTACATTTGTGTGATTATGAAAAAAAGTTGCGAATCTATCTTATAAAGTACCATTCTTTTTACCGCTTCTTACTTGATACCATTCTTTTTACCACTTCTTTCTATCTGTTGGGCCAATAATCAAGATGTACGGGCCCCAAGCCCATGACTCGCTATAAAGCCCATTAAGCAACTGGGTCCTGCCCAAAGGAGCGCGGAAGGCGGTCTTCCTCGAGGCACCTAAGCCAGAAGACCGCCCGACATCCTCTCAACGGAACTTCAGAGAACCGCTCGACAGGCAGGACGAACGGCCCTCTGAACACTTGGTACGGAGACTGGCGAAGTACGAACCTGACAGTCTCAGAGGGTCAGACATAGAATTAAATGCCTTCACTTCAGCTCTCGCTGATATAAATACCCATCTCGGATCACATTTATGGGAACTCCTATCGACTACATTCTCTCTCTTATTTACTCCACATCCACTTCTCTCTCTAACTTTAGCATCGGAGGAGGTCCCAGGAAACCCCCTGTGGACCTTTCTTGCAGGACTTCGAGGACCGCCTCTCACCTACGAAGGACCGCACGAAGCCAGTGAAGCCTCACAAAACCGCCTGGTACGAACCAGGCCTAAACATTTTGGAGCCCACCGTGGGGCCTCACGACTTCGTCGCCAGAAAAGGATGGGAGACGACTTTGAAACTCCTCTCAAAGGAATGACCGAGAACAAAACCCTCCGAGGTCTATCGCCGAGAGTTGAAGATGAATCCGAGCTCGAGGAGGTAGTCAAAAGTCAAGGCTTGCAAATCGTAAGCATGCAAGACAGCCTGTCACAAATCCTACAACTCTTGAAGACGAAGGAAGACCATCCCGAGGGATCGAGGGGGAGGACGCGAGAGGAGAAGCAGAAGGCCATCTTGATTCTTGACATCCCTGCTCGGACAGAAGGTGGAGGACCGGAGGCATAAGATGTAGACCTTGGCTTTCTCAAAGAGAATTTATGGTCGACCTACGGGAAACACAAGAGTCCAAATGTTCTTCAAAACCATCTCTCCAAGGAGCTGTTCAAGACCCCGGTACTACCAAACTTCTCCTCCCTTGGACTACCTACGTACAGCGGGACTTTAGATCCCGCGGACCACCTTTGTGCCTTCATGCTGAAAATGCAACTCATCAACGCTTCAGACTCCGACTTGTGCCGAGCGTTCGCCGTCACCTTCAGTGGTCAGTGTCGGACGTGGTATACCTCCCTCCCGGAAGGGGTTATAGAAAATTTCGAACAATTTGCGATGCTCTTCTCTACGAAGTTCGCGTCCCAGCGGCGTCGCAAACTCATGGTTTCGGCACCCATTAATTGTAGGCAAAAGAAAGAGGAGTCGCTTGCGGAGTTCTACGACCGGTGGAATGCAATCGCTTGCGAAATAGATGGTATCTCCTCGGTCGTAGCCGTTGGTAATCTCAGGATATCCACGACCGATATCAAGCTTAAGAGAACCCTGATAAAAAAAGAGGCCATGTTGACGTTATGGTCGGATCTGGATCAGTTGGTACGATGTGCTATCTTATGGCTACTCATGACACCACCGAGTGCAGAGAGTTCAAAGCCA